TGTGGGCTGCAACACCCTGAACTCAGTTCTTTCCCAGCTTTTCGTACGCCGACTTGGTGCTTTCCAGAACACGTTCGTGTTCACGGTTCCAACACAATCCCGTTTTCGGCTGCTGCCATCTTTGTCTGTGTCCTGCACCTTCTTCTCTTGCGCGCCGAGTGGCGTGACATCATGGGACGCACCAATCAGTGAAGCGCGTCTCAACAGGCGTCAATCATGAGACCAAAACTTTTCCATGACGTCACAAATACGGGTTACCATAATAAATAACGCACAGGCCCTTAGTAACAAGAAATATAAAGAAAACTACATAGATTTAAAGAAACCGTAAAATTACCCTGGTTTCAACAACTTAATGGAAGACTTCATGTAGCAGCTTGATTTTACTTGGTAAAGCTGACACTTTCAAGCCTCAAACGTAATGCCTAGCTGTGCAGTGTTACACATTGCTTCTTTTGACATCAGAAGATGTTTTGAGATGACTGCAAAGTAAAATTCAAATTCGTTACTGCTCAGTACGCAAAATGCAGAGCTTGCATGGCATATCCTCACTAACAAAACTGTTAAAACTGATAACATATCGACTTGCTTGATCCGGTTTCGTTGCAAGAAACACATCATTTCCCTCAGATACAGCACTAAGCACTTTCTTTTGATGACCAATAAGCAACATTAACAAATAACAACACTTGCAACACAAAAAAAAAAAAAAACTATCGTTGTGAATGACAACAGACTTATTGCCAATAAACCTGCATTCAGGTATTTTATTGTTCCCAAAATTGACAAATACCAGGGAGACCTAAAATCCTTTTTATCTCTCTTTATCTACATCCCAAAGCTTTTACAATTGCTTCCCCCGGATGACATCGTTCTCGGCTAATTCACCCCTCAAAATAGATAGATTTCAACACTTGCGACAGCTACCTTTTAGTGCTCGCTATTGATGCATTTTGCAATAATATGTGTATATTTTCTCCAACTGTATATTCTGCACTAAATTGAGTAGCATTCTATTTCCCAATCACGTTTTGAAAAATAACGTCCTAATTTTATTATAATCTCCTGTATTTACAAATTTGACAAGTAACATGGAGGTAAATATCAATAAAAATAACGTACACTGTCATACATAAATATTTATTGTAATTCAACAGTTATCAGGCAATAATATGACATTACGTTGCTGACGTTGACAATACCTCTTGCATTGGGTACATATTCCCTATAGATCTAGACCATTTTACCATTTTACCATACACTGTTGCACAATTTCACGCTAGTGCTACTGTCACTGATCACTCCCTCTGTGAACATTTCAACACCTATACATACACCTCCATTATTTCATTAAATATTAGCTACTTACAACCACCCTGATCACTACTTACTGTTATATTTTTAAATGACATTTGCTCTATTAGAAGCACATACCATATACCATAAATATAATTGACCAAGACAAATCTATGGTCAGAATCAGACAGATTCAAAATGGCTGACTGGTGACCCTTTTCATTTCAAGATCTTAAAGTTGTTCAATGACATCACCTATTATAGTTCTTAAACAGTCGTGAGCAAATTGTTCTATAGTTCAACTATGTTTTAAGTTGTATTAATTGTAGGTATTTTTGGTTTCATTCTAGATACCACTTGTCCTAACCCTGGAGTTCCTGAAAATGGACAGCAGATTGTAGACCCTGGAATGGATGTAGGAATTTCACGAACATTTATTCTCAATGATCAAGTGTTATTCAGATGTAATGACGGATATAAACTGATTGGAAGTGGATCTATAACTTGTACATACAGACGTGCATGGACAGGGCCTACACCGACATGTGTTCGTAAGTGACAAATTTATACAACATTCCATATAGTCAATCAGCAGTAAAGATCATGGATTGGTATA